AGTAGATCAAACAAAGGCATTGAGGAAAGACTTTGAAGTTCGAATGACTATACAAGTAATGAGATATTCAAAATGACTGCAATGTTATTTAAAACCGGGGAATAAAAATAAAAATAAACATCCACAAACGTAATTTTAAACGGAGCCCCGGAATACCGTAGAGTGGTAGGAATTACATGAAAACGTCCGTAATTGAGTTTACATATTATATAACTGATGCGCGGGCTTTGCAGGGAGCGGATTAGAATTGTTTTAATTGAAAATTATACGAATGTTTTTTTTTTTTCGTTTTGTGACTGGTGCCATTGTGTAGTACAACTTGTCAATCATTTACTCATGAGTCTCATGGTAGTGTCAGGTTTTAGGATGGGTGGAAAATTGTGGAAAATGGAAGAAGATTTTCTTTAGATGGTTTAGATTTTAATTTCAAAAAGTATGTCTTTGTTTATCGTCGATTATGACAGTCATATATCTTTAACCTTGTAACTCCTGCTGAGTTTAAGGAAAGGATTCACGTATAATATGGGAATTTATTTGGACTTCAGTGTTGCATCTAAACTGACTGAAAGCTGACCCCAACCTATTTGGATAAAAGCCAAAAATAAACGCTATTTTGTTTAAAATTATCAACAAGGCAATTTTTATTTCTGTACAAAATAAATATTTAATGACATATTTAACGTGCGTACAGTATTCATGAATATTTTATAAGAAAACTGGAAGAAAAAATATGCCGAGCATAATTTTTTGAGAGGCTTGTGGTCTCAAGCGGTCCTTCAGAGCGAGAGGTCCTGGGTGGCGATTATTGGGTCAAACTAAGTATAATGATTTGAGAAATACTAAGTACCGTATCGAACAGCAATACATTTTATGTGCAAAGTTGGATTAATGTTTGCAAGAAAACATAATAGAAAGCATAACTGACGTAACATTACTCACGATTCTCAGCCCCATGTAAAATTAAAAGTCAACGCTAATAACAAAACAAAAGGTATCATTTTCATAAAACATGTTCTGTCTTGTTTAGCGGCCTCAAATCCGTAGCAGACAAAAAGTTGAACATTTTGAAACATTTAACGTATATTTCTAGCGGATCGTAATTCAGCAGTGAATTATTTAGAGAGCCTGTCTCTTAGTGCTCGTACACACGGACTGAGTACAGCTTGTGCAATATAGGTACATGTACTACATTGTTTTCCCTTGTAAGGTAATTACACTGTGTAATCATGTTGTAGTTGTTAACTGTTTGTAATGTATTGTTACACTAAAGTACAGCTTTGATATTCAAACAAATCTGTTAAGTATCAGATGATGAACAATGGGCTCTTTCTTATCTTGTAAGAAAACGGGGAGGAACACTTGAACTCCAATTTGTTTTGAGTTTTTCTTACTTGCTCTTTATCCTTTACAGGTGTGTACACACTATAAAATATAATATAAAAAAAATTGGGTGTGGGCTCATATAGCTACAGTATACTGGTTTTAGGTGATTAACTGAAATAGAAAACGTCATTGATAATGTACCTATCTAATTCTAATATCTAAGTCTAATTTAATCTTTAGATAATTACAGTCTTTAACTCCCTAAATTTTACTATACAGATAGAACACATATTTACAACACAAACACTCACTAATACCAACACATAGAAACTATACACTACACATAAAATCAATGTTCATACGACCGTGTGTCCGGGCACTTACCTCGTAGCTATAATTCATACAGACTTCATATTTATTCATAAGCATCACCTGTATTCGCTGACTGCATGACGTACAGAAACAACTTACTATTTTTACCGTTTTTTTGTTAACATTTCATATTTGTTTCATTGATACAAATGGGTATGTTGAAATGTTAATGTGTGTCAGAAACCGATGTTAATGTTATTTTTATTATTGCTCTTAATAGACATTTCTCTATCTGTTATGTATTTGACCTGAACATTTTATTTTTGTCTGCTTCTACGTATTATTTGTACAACTCACTCCCACTTCAGCTTGCTAATCTGGAACCCTTAGAGCCTATATTGTCGATGCGATGATAAGGAAGAGATATATTATATTATATTTTACGACCAACGTAAACTGTGTTGACTGTGACTGTATTAGGGTGCGACACTCGACTATAAGGTTTCCAATTTTGGGTCGGACTTTCTGATTTTCAAAATTTTTAGCACACAGTTGACGTAAAGATGAAATCTAAATTCAAAAGTGTACTTTCTCTTTAATAATATAAAGCGTGGTGTAATATTATTCAACAAGTCACGTAATAACACTTAGAAGACCCTTTACAGCTATTCTTAGTTTTGTGTTAGGCTTTCGTTGGAATCTCACATCTCTATTTGTAGGCACTTTAGGCAAAAGTCTAAATTTAAAATGACCGTCCTTTTCATACAATAGCTCGCTTCTCTTTTGATTATTCCTGTTGACCTAGATTTGTTTTGTAAAGCACCAGATAAAACTGGTTGGCGTAATGGCACTTAAAGAACTTAAAAAGCAACAAAATAATATTAAAAGAGGAGACATAATTATTAATATTTGTGAATGTGGTAATGGTCGAGTTTTAAACTACAAAGCGTGATACAAGACGTTATTATGTTAATAGTAATCATATGAAGAGATATTCCATCATGACCTACACCTACGTGATTTAAGAACTACTTGCAGCAATTGTGTATTTCAGGTGTCTATGGGCGACGCCGATTGCTTACCATCAGGTGATCCGTCTGCTCGTTGTTTACCGGCTTATCCCATGAAAAAGAGCAATGTACTAATCAAATCGACTCAATCCAGTTTTTTGCATCCTCATTTATTTAATTGAGGATACTACCTTTTAGAAATGTAACACAAGAGTAAGTAATCTGCTTTTTTTGACGTATTGTTGTGGCAACCGTATACAATGCTTAGTCATTTGTGAATTAAGGTAGCCTTATTTCACTACAACAATAGAATATAAGCTTGAAGCAAAATGAGTCAGCAGTTCGGTAACCCAGATCTAGGAAAAACCATTCAACATAATATTTTTTGCATCAAGTTGATCTGTTGTTGTACCTATTCATTTTAATGAAACTTTTTTGCACTTACATATGTTTTTTCAGTATATGAAAGTGGCAATTTTAAACGAAAAACACGCCTATGTTAATAACTTCTGAATCACTCAACGTAATTTAAAAAAACATACCCTCAATAAAGGTAAAATCCTCGAAAAATATATTTTTCACGTGGCTGCACCAACGGGGCAGCGCTCGTAGTCTGTACATTGCGTTCATCACACGGACGGACATAAAAAAAAATATTTGAACAAGAAAATACCTTAAAGCGGAACACGTAACATTTTATAAACGTTATTCTAAAGTGGTAAATGTTTTCACCTGTTATGGACCACCTTTTGAATGTGCGTCTAGGAAATATTTTACGGAACGAGGTCGAAGTGAGAGCTCTGAAAGACTCGAGGGCCTTTCAACAGCTTTTAAAACTGGTGCTGGTAATCTGTGAGATGTATTTTATTATATCTACGTTGGAAGAATTGAAAAGGTGGCTATAATTAGGTGTGAGGAAGTCTTTACTTCCTCCTTTAAATAATTTGTCATCTCAGACGATAAGAGGGTCGGTGGCGGATAAGATGATGAAATGAGAACAAAAATGTTCGTGTTTCTAAGGAAGTGTCACCAATAGGATGTTGATTATTTTTATTTTGGTTATAGATAAGTATTAACTTATTAGTGATGAAATACTATTAAGTATTTCGACTTTTCATCTTCTTTTTTTTCTGTTTAAAAAAACGTTGCCCCTCACTAGGATTTTCTTCTGTATCGTGGGTACATTTACAAACATACAAGTTCACATACACAGGACACCCAGACCCGAAACAACAATTTGTGGATCACACAAAGTGTTGTTCCGTGCGGGAATCGAACCCGCGACACGTTGCACCGCAGCCGGTTACCCAGCCACCGCACCAACCGGCAGTCAGTCTGTTACAAAATTAATCTTATTACAATTATAGTGTATCTGTGATTTTTTCTGATGTTTGTAGACAATAAAACCTAACTTAGAAGTATTGGTCTGACCTACAGTTCCAACTACGATTTGAAGATAAGATTTTGTATTAAAGGTGAAAGTTTAAGTGAAAGTATTTCCAAGTAGTTTTATGAAAGTAGATAAAAACCATAAAAAACTATATCAATATTACGTAAAGTCAGGCAAAGCTTTGCAGGAAAGCCAAAGTTACGACTTTTGAAATATTTATGAAAAGAATACATTCCTATCAACGGGAAGACAGAAATAAATGAAAACTTGCTGGAGTGTACTCGCACGTTCTCAAATGTAATAGTATTGTCTGTTTAGCAACGAGCGAATGAACTGATGACGTTTCAAAAATCCCTGCTAAACCCAATTGGGATCTCGTCCCGGAAAAGCAATAATCCCGCCACGTGTATGGAGCCTCGAGCTCTAACTGTAAAATAATTACGTGATCAAATAAAGTGAGACGTCATTTTATTTTGAAGCTTACGTTGCTTCCACCATACAAGGATATATTGGCATTTTGTCATCCCACAAAAGTCGTAAAATTCAAGTGTGAGAAAGGGTTATCTGCTCCAACGACACCCGCGGGAAATAAAACGCTATGATCTATTCGTGGCGAAGAAACATCTCACGGTTGAAAAAGCTATTTATACTTCGAACAGATTTTAATGGTTTTGGACTAGGATTGTATTTTCTATTCACTATTTACAAGTCATACGTACATTCCACCGCCAAAAGAGCACTTTCTGTAACTGATCTCTTTTGCAACATCGAGTGCGTAAATACTTCATTTAACCCCGGAATCGAGCCTGAAAACACACATGGTCGGCGATGATATATTTTCTAAAAGAAATCGCGAAAAATGCTTATTAAAATCTCTTCTTTCTTCTATTAGAAGCACAATAACACATTAACTGCCAATGTAAACCTCCATTACACACACTGACCACAAAATATTTTGTCCACAGCTAGAAACACGAGCTTTCAACAGTACAGAGATATCAGTGACGAATAGTTCCTGTGACCTTGAAGCATGTGTTATCACAGTCAGACCAGAGCGAGGAACAGCGAAGTACACGTGCGAAGTGTCCAGCGAAGGACCTCGATTCGCGGTTGATAAACGATCAGCCAACATGACACTAGCTGGTGAGTATGTTAACCTGGTACATCAAAATAGAAATAAGTGTGTTATAAATACGAAGATAGAATAAGAAGTACGAAAATCAAGTCAAATCAAAACAACAATAGTAATATCAATAAACAAACCGCCGACAGTTTTGTATCAATTCCCAATACAACATAAAATAATAATCCTACAGACCAATATTGTTTGCTTTACCGAACATTATCTCATTACGATGAGCCCAATATAATATAACGTCTTTCCACAATACTGAAGATTATCGTGTGGAAGCCAGAATCTACGCTAATGGTACTAGCGAGACAGGACGCGGAAATGGTATTAAATCCAACATTTCAGACGTAGTTTCCCTTCGACAAAGACATTTTCAACGAAAATAATATGATTTTGGGTAAACTAGAAATGTCTCGTTCGGAATATATGAAAGTGATTGAGCCGATAGCGTTTACTCGAAACGTTTGCTATCGTGCGTAACGTGATGGTAAATAAAATGTATTTTGCTAAATACAATTTATTTTTTAACAAAATATGTATCAAAAATTAAACTAAATTTTTTATTTCCTATAAATAGATTTTTAGCCTTAAAAACGGAGTGAAATATGAGTAGTTTTGGTAATGGAAACGTTACATAGATTTGAAAAACAAATAAAATCATTTTTAGCTTAAATGTATTTTGTAGCTGTTCCTGTTAACATGAATAAGGGAATATATTGTGTATAATTGAATGTAAATATAATATGTGAGAGGGTAAGCTTACCCAAAATTTATTGGATATCCTTTGTTAAGCTCGTAACAATAAAATAACAGTTGAGTTAAAAGTTAGGAAAGGGTTTACAAGCCCACTTTAGTTTCTACCAACGGTTCTGTTACGTACATGAATAATAAAAACAGATTATTTTAAATAGATTGGTAATATATGTACAAATAGTTTAGTTTGATAACGACAGAGTAGGTTACATTTATCGACATGTAAAGTTTTTCCGCGGGTATACCCGTCAACAGAAAAGTCTTTTTTTTTTAAGGGGGGAAAATCATCGAATGACTGCTCCCGTCTGGGTGAGCCGGGAGGGAGTGTCGGTCAGAAAAGTCTAAAAACCCGTCGGAAACTAAACATTTGGCAATCTCTAATAGATCCATACGTGGTGATGATAACAAAGCCTCTTATGGAGACGAGGCTCATTAGTCAAACAGTAGATTGTGTCAGGCTACCTACATAAAATATAACCTTATATTTTCGAAGATGGCTTCGAAAAGACGCGTAACTAATGTTTATCTCATAAATAATCAGTTGTCAGTGACGCCTTACAAGGTACAGGTATTATTAATTTATAAGTAAGCTCTTAAAAAAACGTATTATTTTCATAAACCATATAATATCACAGCGATGAGTTGAATATTAATGTTAATGAGAAACACAAGAGGTAAAGAGAAACTACAATATTATGCAACAGGTAAAATATTCCGGGAATTTTAATAATCCATGGAAAATTTTAATAATAAATTAATCTTTTATTTACTCAATACCAATTCCTGGAAAAATTTATATATTATTTGGCCACACACTGAATGAATAAAACGTCAATATCCTTGGTTGTTACAATTTTAAGTATTGGTATAATTTGTAAAAATGTGTCAATTCCTTACTGTCCTTTTTAAGCACTCGTTCGACTACCGTTTATATGCTATCTAACGACAACAAATAGGTCTGAATGCTATGTTTAGGTATGCATTTATGTTTAAGAACAAATTTTTTAAAAATGTTTTTTTTTTCAGTTATGCCAGAATACGATCCGTTGATCACGGGTCTACCAACGATGGTGCAAGTGGGAGAGCAAGCGCTGGTCAATTGCACGTCAGACTACTCGCTACCGGCGGCCACTATTGACTGGTTCGTCGATTCAGAACCACAGGAGGTGAGATTTTGATAAAATTTCTGTCTTTTGATGTAGTGTTATTATATTATCGATTACCAGCAGGCAAGTTAGTGGCCAAACACCTACTCATTATGTATCTACCAATAATAAAATGTACATTATATTTCATAAAGATTTATTTTAAGGAGGTTATATGTTTTCTGAAAATAAAAGATAGTGAAAATGCTCGAACGAAGCCACAAACTTGATTCAGATATATTTTAATAATTATTATTAATTCTATATCACTATTTTTGTTAAGTATATATCCTAAGTAAGGATTAAGGTTTATTTTAAAAAAACCTAAAATACATCCCCGAGGCATTCCATTTGAAATTGTGGAATATTTATTTACACAACATAATGTATTTTAAGTTACCCAAATACTAAGCAGAAGATAAGCGAGGACGATAAAATAAGTAGATCATAATAAAAGAACGAATGTGATAGAATGTGATACAAGATTCAAATCCTTTTCTTTGAACATATCTCTATTGTGTAGAGGCTTTACTCGGAATACTAAAAAGCATTCATGGGAACTCGAACAGACTAGTCCAATGAATTATTGGATAACTACAAGATATCAAAGTAAGGTTATATATTTTGAAGGATAATTGTACGTATAAGTTATATAGTACTAGCAGCCCGTCCCGGCTTCGCACGGGGTAGATAATTATTTATTTTTGGAAATTTGGATTGTTGTAGTGATATAACTACAATAGTTGGACATATGCTACCGCGGAGTTTTTTGTAGATATTATGATGTTCTTTAACTCGTCGAGTACCGGTTTTGTAGACATAATTATAGAACAATAGGTTGCGCTCACCGGTGACCGCTTGGTGTTTGACAGTTTAATATTGTTGTACATTATTTTGTTCTATCGCTAATACTTTCGGCAGCGCATTCGACGAAAGACGTTTTAAGACTCATTTTTCTACACCTTCGGTTACATTGTTCAATTACCAAGGATCCCTATTTTTTTTCAAAATGAAATGTAACCTATGTCAAATTGGAAGAATGTAGCATTCTATTGGTGAAAGATTTTTTTAAATCGGCCCAGTACTTTTTGAGCCTATTCATTACAAACATACAAAAATAGGTACAAATCTTTCCTCTTTATAATATTAGTATATATAGAGATATATAGAATATAAGTTTTGTTTGTGCTGAATGACTACTGACGCATAAAACCTTCTTTCACCGTTACAAAGCTTACTTCTCAAGAAGTTGCTTAGAGTACTTTTAATCCCGATATTTCTTCAGAATCGGGACTTCAGAGAAACGTTCTAAATTCCACACGAGCGACGCCGTAAGCGGTAAGCTAGTACATCAGTGTATGTGTATGTGTGTACAAGGCTCCGTAGAACTTGAGTGTAGCTAGCAACACGGGCGGAAAAAACGACTTACATTCGTGCTTAGCTCTTATCGATTTTCAAATAAATATAGCTCTCAGTTCGTAAAAGCTGAGTTTACAGGTATAACCACCAGCGTGCTATTTATTTTATTGGAAACCTATAACCGTTTGCGTTGAAAAGCTGACGTTACCCGCCTATGTCAGTGGAATGGTGAAATATAACCTGGATTGTTGAAATTTTATGTTTACTACACAAACGTTTTATTTCCGTCATCACGATTTTCGATAAAATCATCATTTCTATCATCCGATTTCGATTCGCGAGCCCCGAGATTTTTTTACCAAACATGTTTATATGTAATGTCAATATTTCTACCTCATACATCTACCCAACGATGTCTACACGATATTTTTTCCATTATATTATTGTTTTTCCTCAAACATTTCCTATCGTTCGGTCGTCATGTCTTCATAATATATTAATAGCACATGTGGTGACAAAATGATTCATCAGACTAAACATCAGTTGGAATACATTTATCAAACAAAATACACGATCTGTTCACGGCTCCAACGACCTGTTGTGCTAGAAATTATTTTAATTTCTCCACGCCATTGTTGAGCTAACGATTTTTCCTTTCAGACTTCGCTATCGGTGTCTACGTTCGCCTTTTGTCAGTCCGAACGCTCCAAAAGCCGGTTTATTTGATTTCGTATAAAAGAATTTGGTGATATATTTTTAGAGGCAGGACTCCGTTAAAGAGAGGGCTCTCAACTGTGGTGAGATTTTGCTTCGAAAATGGAGCAACGGAATGAAAGGTGATGTCGTCGTGATCTCGAGTGGGGTGTCGTCTCCAGTCTTGTTTTGCAGGCATTTTCAAATATCTAACTTAGTTTGGTATTTTACGTAAAAGTCAGATGAATAAAGGTTTACATTTTCTTCCACAAAATACGAGAAATATCATATTTTTTTCTTATACTTACAATTTCAGCTAGAAAAATGCTGAGACATTTCGTTCAGTCTCGACACGCCATGCGTTATTTCTTAAACTGTCAAACACCAAGCGGTCACCGGTGACCGCAACCTATTGTTCTATAATTGTGTCTACAAAACCGGTACTCGACGAGTTAAAACTTAAGTATAGTCGTAACGTTACAAAGAAACAGATCTATAACAAGCCGAAATGGCTCGTAAAAGTCTTACAAACGTCATTATACTCCATCCGTCTTAGAAGTCGACGACTTGAGACAAAAAGTATTAACACATAACCAATTCTTGTCTTTTGTTATTAAGGTACATTATCATTTAGCAGCCGTACCCGCGACACGTGTAACCTTTCGCTTTTGTTTGTTTTATTTATGTAATAACATTATTTACTTTATATATAATTCACAATCTAATTTATGTTATTGATGGATCCTCGAAATTTTCCCGTCGGTACTTTGACGTTACTTAATTAACTAAAGAAACTTATTACAACGCTAACTTTCTTCCCGGGAACTGGATATTTTTTATGATTGGAAAAGACGCTCGTTGTGGTTTTGTTTCGGAGAATCTTAAGTTCATCAGTTTACGTCTTCGAGTAAAACTTCTATATTTGCTTTTTTTACCTAAGTGCTTCGATTATCTTAGTCTACTCTTATAGTCGAAAATGTTATTTTTGTCCTTTGTGTAATGTTGTGGAAACAATATCTAACATTTTATCAACTGCCATGGCCAGTGTAATTGAGTTGATGCAGAACTCAGAAGTCCAAGCTATCTGTGATAGGAAACAATTAATTCTATAACTGAGAACGTTTGTAAACTTTGTGTTATTTCTCAATAAATAAATTAAATTCTGAAGTTGAAGTCGAGTTGTACTTCTCTACGCATTATAATTATATGTATTGATAATTTTTATTATTAAGTATATTGACATTAAAATATCAATCTTATGCATGTTAGTATTTAGGTAATTTTTGGCAAGTAAGGTATTAATGTTGAATTAAAATCAATAATCTTTTAGATACTATGTTTGTAGAAACTTTGTTGTTTATATAATTATGTCAAAAGAAGTATCCATTATATAATGGTTTTCCCAGTTATGGTTACCTCTTCTATCAAAAATTGATACAATATAGTAATATATTGTTAGCCTAAGCTAATTATTATATTGTTCGGCCTACTCACTTTCATATGAGCTGCCATCATGGCTTGAAACTAGTCGAATTCCTCGTTAAATAATTACGTGAGTAAGCCAAAAAACATAATAATTAATGTAGTATTTCTGACAAAAGCTATAATATAAATATATTAAGCTACTACAAAAAGCACCTACCTACGAAACTTACAAGATTAACAGTCACCTAACTGCCTCGATACTTGATAGGCCACCTAAGTGGAAATTAGGCTGATCTGAAGAGAGCACGGTTAGTCGGTCACAGTCCTAACTCCAAGTGCCTAATTCCAGCCATTTGGCGCACCCTGTCGCTAGTAAAAACAGCGTTATTAGGATTTGTTGGTACCTTCTATTACAACTTTTGGACCCAGTTTAGACTATTTACGACATCACCTAAGAAGTGTAAGTACTAGCTTTAGGAAAATCCGCTTTTAGAAAATTATATTGTTCGTTACGTGATTAGATTTTCAGATTTATATATTTTCCTGATACGTATCAATCAATATGAATGAGATTTATACCGAGACAGTAGATGATAGACAACACGTGGGTGCATGGAAATATGTATGTTAATGATTTTCTAAGAATTAGTTCTTTTAGCGTTCAATCAGGTTTTTAACCTTCATTCATTTAAAGAACTTAGATAAGGAGTAACGCGTCTTATTTTTTATCAATCACTAGGTTTTGTAAC